GCTTGGCAAATGAAAAAAAATTCAGAATAACATTTCCTTGTGACACATATTAATTACTTTTAATGACAGTTATTAATAATGTTTTATTTGATTGTCTCCTGATATTTAAAGGGCAATCAATCATAGCACTTATTTATCCTAATTTTACTCACTCTGATTAATTGGGAGGAAGTCTCAAAGTGGTCCAACTTTCCAATCAAGCATACACTGTAAAAAAAATCCGTAAAATTTACGGTAGAAAACCGGCAGCTGTGGTTGCCGGAATTTTACGGTAAAAAATACGGTAGCAACGTTTTAGGTTTTACGGTTTTAACTTAAATTTACAGTTAAATACCGTAATTTCATTAACTGATATAATGTTAATATACCAACCTATTGAAGTACTGAAATCTGTTTTGTACCTTTGTAATACACTGATAACCACCAAATGCAGGTGGTGATGAGAACGTCACATGATGAACCAAAGCCCATCACAAGCAGCTTTTAAATACTAACATATATAGAAGGTGCACAGTGTCATTCACACAAACACTAAACACCATCATGGTAACACACGTGAAACTGAAATAATGCAATAAACATTCATTTAACAACATTAGGTGTAACACACAACCCTAATATACAAAATTGATAAGAAAAAACTAAGAAGAAACATGGTTATTTCAACAAAAAAACATCAAATTTGAATGTAATGCAGGGAATTCTGGGAATGTCAATTTACGGTTATTCACTGTAAATTATACGGTATATTACCGTAAAATTAATGTCCAATACATGTAATGTCCAATACAGTTTTTCACCGTATATAGTAGGGGAATTTACCGTTAACCATTTAACAGGATTTTACTGTAGCATTTTTACAGTATCTTACCGTTAAATTCACGGTCATTTTTTACAGTGTACTGATATAGATAATGTTGTCATGTTTAACATTAAAATGTTGTGTCATTGTTCGTTGTAACATGGCGATGTATCTGGCACATCTGCAGAAATCCGTGAAGCCTTTAAGGTGTTTGACCGTGATGGGAACGGGTTCATCTCAAAACAGGAGCTAGGAGTGGCCATGCGGTCTCTTGGTTACATGCCAAATGAAGTGGAGCTGGAGGTGATCATTCAGAGACTGGACATGAATGGTATATCAGCCCTCGCAAAAAGAAACATTCATATCTTTGGACACACATGCTCTTGTGTATTTTATAACATAATGTACGCTGATAATTGTGTGATATTCTCTATAGCACTATTAATTTGTCTTGTTTTGATTACATGATGTAAAACCTGCTAAGGGAGCATTTATCAGAGAGGCATGGTGGAATTGCAAATTCAATACAAAACACCTGCAACAGCAAAACAATTCAATATTGTAATGGTTATTGTGAATCATTGAACAAAGGACTGATGTTTCTGATAATGAATCAAAAGATTATAGTCTGGCTGTTCTGCTGGATCAGCGTAAGATTACAATCTCCCTCAAGAAAAGGTTACAGTGAAGCTGGCCTGTGTTTGTGTATCTTTTATTTCGCAGGTGACGGTCAGGTTGACTTTGAAGAGTTCGTAGCACTTCTCGGACCAAAATTGTCTTCAGCTGGTATGCCTGACAGATTCCATGGAGCCGAGTTTGACTCCGTATTCTGGAAGGTGTGGAGGTTTTCTTTGAAATAATCTCAATTATTTCCCCCATGATTAGTTCCGTCTGGCTTCAGCTTTACTTTGTCCCTTTTTTCTGTGACTCCCTGTGATTACTGGTGGAAAAGAAGATTATTCATACATTATTCACACTCTGCAATTAACTTGCTGACATTTCTTTGGTAGTAATAGCACTGAATTAAAATTAATGTCGAAAGCGCCATTTCAGTCCATTAGAAGGCAATATTCTCTTAAATGTGCTATTTAGTATAACTCATCTGTGCATTGGCCGCTGATCATTTCTAGCAGTTATTTCATCATTTACAGGGATATTTGGCATTTTGAACATTGCTCCTTTAATGAAAAGGTCAATTTTATTCTCCTTGTGTCATTAGTGTGACATGCAAAAGCTGACTGTGGATGAGCTGAAGAGACTCCTGTATGACACCTTCTGTGACCATCTGACTATGAAAGACATCGAGAACATCATCATGACTGAGGAGAGTCACTTGAACAGCCCCGAGTGCCAAGTAGATATTGACAGTAAGTCTTCATACGATAACAATTCTCAAAAGCAAAGCAAAAAATGATAACAAAATTGCAGCAAACATGATACATTGACCTTGGCTGTGAGCATGCCACATTTTCTCCGATGTACCTAATGGACAAAAATAATTAAAATGTTAGAATTCTCGGTGATTGGAATGCTTCAACATATTCTGATTTGTACAACTCGAGACCGTTCGACTACCTGTAGGATTTCATCAAGCGCGTGAGGGAGGCGGTGATGCCCAGGAGGTAATGCGCATTAGTATAATGTGACACAATTCAGGGGGGTTTTTTTTGCGCTCGAACGGAGGTTTCTGTGCACATCGTGCACATCTGTACCCGGTGAATATAAGCTAATGGAACCACCGTAATCTCAAGGAGAGCTTACGGCACGTTGTTTTCGAACAGGCGTTGGGATGCTCTACGTTTATTCTTCAAACCCCGTTGAAGATGTACAGAACACGGGGACATTTCCAGCAATATACACGTACCTGTACCATACAAGCTCCGTCTGAATGGCAATACTTGAATGTTTGAATTCGTGAAATCATATGGCAATAGTTTTTGCACCTGGTGCAAAGCAATCCGCAATCGATCGAATGAATGATCATTCCTGCATGAGCGTGCAGAGTGACTAATCGCACCTGGACCACAATAAGACAGGATGGAGACGAATCAGACACGCGTTTTGATTGTTGGCTTTGAGCTACCAGTAAGCGCTCTGTAGTAAAGTTGCAGCGGCCGAACTACAGGTGCTTTATGAAGATCAGGACACAATCGTTAGTTTGCCCTCGCAGAAATGCCAGTGCGTGCTGTGACTTCCAGGTTCATGTACAGGGGACTTTGCTCAATTCCAGATATCCTCTCCTACAAGACTCCCGTCAGCCTCCCCGAGGATGAAGTGGAGGGTAAGTGATATTTCAGGGAGACGTTGCAGGGAGACGTTATCTGTGGCGATAGTGCTGCCAGTGTACTTGTGAATGTGGATTTCAGCACCATGGAGAGCGCTCTGCGGCAGCCTCTACTGTCCACTATGAAGAAACTGCTTGTTTTTTCCTATAAACTACTATTCAAAATTGTCGCAAATAATTTGAAAAAAAGTAAATATTTTCATTTAGATTGTGTTGGTTTGGAGATAAGCGTTTGAACAAACGCCATCAGATTAAATCTATAATGGAGTTCAAGCTTACAATATGAAGGGTGAAGGTGGGCGTTCATATCTGATCACACACTAATATAGCCGCAAATGTATCTAGTATTTTAATATTTGTATTACATAAAAAAATGATAAATAATACTAAATCTTTTGGCAAAGACACGTTTAAATAACACATGTAAATTACATGAATTGATAATAATTTTAATGGTTGCACCATATAAAAAAACGTTCCATTCTTTACATTCAAGTGTCTTGAAGAAAATACATTTTGTGGAACTACATAGTTTTTAGTTTATATTAATAATTTAGTTTATATTTGTTTTTCTCTTTTTTGATTTTATGCATACCGTTTTTGTATACAGCCTTTTCCATGCATGTGATACACACACCTAGCTAACACTCCTTCAGTTCCAGAGAGATATAGAGGCCTACCTCTTAATTACATAGTGATGTGGGGAATTTTATTATCATATTCTTTTTCTTATACGAAAAAGAGACAAATTTGAATTAAAATATCTATGCTTGTCTATGCTTAGCTACAATTAGGTTACTGTCCATAGGTCGTATGACACGGTTTATGCCATGTTAGCTCGTAAACTTACAATGATATAATTTATCTAATATGTTAAAGTTAACAGATTTTGAACATTGTTCCTTTAATGAAAAGGTCAATATTACTCTCCATTCTCCTTGTGTCATTAGTGTGACATGCAAAAGCTGACTGTGGATGAGCTGAAGAGACTCCTGTATGACACCTTCTGTGACCATTTGACTATGAAAGACATCGAGAACATCATCATGACTGAGGAGAGTCACTTGAACAGCCCCGAGTGCCAAGTAGATATTGACAGTAAGTCTTCATACGATAACAATTCTCAAAAGCAAAGCAAAAAATGATAACAAAATTGCAGCAAACATGATACATTGACCTTGGCTGTTTGTCTCTAGCATATTCGCTCCCTGTGTGTGTCCACGCATCCGTATCATTATGAAGTGTCTGGGCATTATCGTGTCAATCAAAATTGTCTGTCAACTCCATTAAAAACCCAAGACACAGAGGTTATTGCTGCAGTGTAGAAAAACGGTCTATTATTAGCCGAAACATATTCTGTTGATAGTCCTGGGGAAATAAAGGAGCTCATGAATCTGTTTGAAGCAGGACAATGGGGAATGTATCTGTAATACTGATGAGCACTTGAACACCTTGTACTCTTTGGTAGAAAATATCTTTTTACTGAATACCAGCCACTGGCAAGTTTTTATTCCTTTTCGTAAGAAGCTTATACACATATTGTATCTAATTGAAGCAAAAAAAAACAATGCACACTTGAAAGGAAACTTAAGAGATGAAAAGTTTGTCTTTCCAAAAAAAATTAATTAAAAAAAGTATGCAATATCACACAACCACAAGTGTTGTTTTATCAGCTGCAGCAGCTGGAAATCTTAATATTAAAAATAGTTCATACTGAGTCATTTACATTTTAGACACAATATTGGCAGTTATCTGTTTTGCAACGCTAATTATAATATTAACAAACGAATCCACAACAGGACTGTGGCAACCCTGAGCAACACACCGTAGCTGTGTTTGGTTTCTAAATTTACTAGCGTTTTTTGATTGATTCATTCATTCATTATTAAGTAGATTATTTAATTACTCACCCATAAAGACCGTAAAGTCACTTGTTTTGTTCCTGAATGAATCAAAGTTTTAGAATGAATTGAATCAGTGCCTTTGTGCGACTTGTTTGAATGAGTGATTCAATGACTCACTCACTTATTGCCACCTACTGGTGAAACTATGTAACCTGCAGAAAGAGTCACTGGAAAGTCTCTGCTACTAAAGAACACACTGAAATGCATAAATACAGACAAATGAAGTGATACAAACAGTGAAAAGTACTAGAGTTGTTGGACTCTTTTAACACTGCCTGACCAATCAGATTTGAGGACTGATGTTGTATAAATATATGTCTGGTGGAAAAATCCAGTATTATGTATAATAAACTTTCTCTTCCATTTTCTTCAACTTGTCCTCAAAGCAAGTCCCATGCAACAAGTCAAGCACACCTGTGTGCGCAAGAGCTTGATTTGTGCCTTCGCCTTTGCATTCATCATCAGCGTCATGCTCATCGCAGCCAATCAGATGCTTCGAAGAGGAATGAAATGAACAGTTCTGTTTCTAAGACAATGAATGACTGACAAAAGGAAACAAGGTAAACATGCAAAAAAGTCTACTAATTTCACTAGTTTCTAACGACCACAGTTTTACGGAAACACCAAAGGATGCACTTTCATTCTACTACAAACTCAAGGTAAAGACAGACTGTTGTTAGACAGACAAAAGAAAAATTTAGCCCAAAAAAACAGTTTAAAAGTGTTATTATCATTATCCTATATTAATGATCATTGTCCTAAAAAAATATGACATTTTTTCTTTGGCTTATGTTACAAAGTAGACATCTATTATAATGTAGCACATCATACTTAAACGTATTGTATAGTTGTAATTCACTTTATATCAATATCGTGTCATTATATAACATGACACAATGACATTGACAAAACTACTTCCCCATTTTGTAACAACGTGTGACCGAGTCATGTACCTTACGCAATTTTAGATCCAGTAGGACCTAGATTTATTTTACCAACATGGTGTCAAACATCACCGGTTTGATGGATGAATGGATACAGAACATAAAGAGGAAATAAACAAATTTCTTAACACTAAGTCACCGTGAGTAGTTAGGCTTAGAGCAATTTAAAAAGAAAATGAATGTACTAGAAATCTACCAGTAATAAACTGTGATGGAAAATAGAGTATAAATTTGGTGACAATCCAAAGTGTTACTGAACCTAACCTGTGCAATTGTCTTTTGTTAACTTGCAAAAACAGTATTTCTTCCCGTCTTGACTCTCAGGATTGTTTGTCGATAAGTCTTTTATTAAATTGTCTGCTGGTTGTGTGAGAAAATGTGTTGTGAAAAATGACTGAATATTACAGGCTATTCGTATAGTGTGCCATGTGAGACTAACTGTTTTTGTCGATATCTTGCAATATAACTGTTCTGAGTGTTAATACATATTTGCATGACGTGTTTCCTAGCATTTTGATAACGTCAGTGTTGTCAATGAGTAATCAGTCTGTGTCAATATTATCATTATTTTCTTTAAGAACTTGTGAATTTCATTGTTCTGGGGTGTTGTGATCTGTATAATGGTCCATTTTTAATTTTTAAGTCATGACATTAACGTTCTCTCATTGTAACCGAATTTTTGTCCACATTATCCTGGTCAACGTGGAAATTACAGGTTAAGTTTAAGTTGGCTTTTGAAGCAACTGTATGTATTTTAATTTTTTTACCTTGAAATATCGGTTTCAAAATAATTCGACCAAATGGTCTGTTTGGTTCAAACTCTCCCCTCAAATGTCTGTTGTGGGAGAGTGAGCGGGTACGAATTTCTGCGAAAAGGGCAGATTGCATTACGGCAGTATGCACGTGTACTGGTTTCCAGGGTAATTACGACAGTGAATTCCACTCACTTAACTGCAGGGGGCTCTAAAGTTGCAAAACCACACAAAACTACGTACAGTTGCTTTAAGTTTATGCATTCCTAGCGTAAATCAAAGGGAATGAGCCAGTGCAAGTTATTCAAAAGTATTATTTTTAAGTTAACTTAATAGCTTTACGTTTGGTGCGAGTTAATGGTAACAAGCAATATTTGGCTTATGCATACTCTGAAATAAATGTATGCATCTCCAGCATCTATCTGTAATTTATGCATTTGTCAGTAATCTCAGTGCCTAAACAGTAAATTGGATGGTGTTGTTCTGTGTGTCTTAGGTTTAAAGTCCAAATTGTATATTTTTGTGCACTTTCTCAGTATTTAATTCACATGTTTGTGCTATATCACAGATGACACTTAACTGATACATATAAGTTGTTCATTAACATTTACTTGACTTAATTTGGAAAAAAAATTATGTAAGTTAAGTCTGTTATGACTGATTATTTAAATGAATCTGCAACTGCATATGATTGTAATGATAGTGTTGCATTGGTTTTATGAGGCTATAGAGTGAAACATATCAATATACAACTTAAGACTTTTTTCAGAGTAATATTATTACTATTATACATTACAGGAAGTTTGTAGTTCGCAAACTCAAGACATTCTGACTTCAGACATTATGAAGGTAATGCTGACATGACAAGACAACCTTTGCGCAAAATATATAAGCAATGATGAAAACCTGTTTCTTTGCAGTTGCATGCATTTGTAATTTTCTGACATGTTGTATTGTGTGGTGTCAAGGTCAGCCTCTGTTGTTAAAATATGCAATCTATGCTTATTTGATGACTGTGATTTAAAGTTACGATTTATATATCTATACATATACAAATTGAGATATACTGATTTCAGGACATTAGAAACATATCACGCACGCGATTTCCAAAGCTCAAGCATGTGATCTGCTGTGCAAATCGTTTTTACACACTAATAGGGGTATTATTATTTAACACTGCAATATGTTTGTTTTTTTCAGAGTAATAAATGGGTAAAAGTTCTAGGATTATATAAAAAAATAGTTTTATTTTTGTATTTTTCCAATATTACTTCATATTAATTAATCTTATTCCACATGGAAATATTACAGCACATTTACTTAAATTGCATCTATTACACCCAACTACATAATGGCTGATACACGTTGGCAGTTACAAATTAGCTCACTTGATTATATTAATGTAGTGATGTAACAGTAATATATCTAACTGATGTATGTAACTTGATATTGCATCAATGTAGCCCTAGAAAACAACCTTGAATCTATGATGTGCCAACATGTGCTGATGTTACATTTAATTGCACCATGTGAACAAATGAATTAAAACAGTGGTGCTTCTTCTTTGGTCTTTCTCATTGTCATTTTGTTTGTATTACATTACACACATTACTATAGTATGCAGCACTTTAAAAAAGGATGCTGTTTTAGCTTAATTTATTTGGTCATATTTCCACACGAGTATGCATATAAAATGCTTCAGTGGAATGGGTCTGCTAACACTTTTTTAATTATTATTATTCCATGAGATTTATATACTGGTGCTAGTATTAAGTAAATAATCTCAACTAGACCAACAAAAAGTATCTAGCAGTGAAACAGGGTTTTAGACTACTAATACTATCTTTTCTCTAATGCCTAGCCAATAAGACCTTTCATCACCAGGCTTGTAAATGTAATGCATCCCAATCAAGTGTAACATTCATCAGTGCAGACAAGAGGAATTCACCAAGGCCATGCAAGCTAGCAGTACAAAACCTCCCTGCAACAAGCAATCAGGACTAAATTGAAAACACTTCCCGCATCTGAATTTCAATCTAAACCACTGACACAAAAGGCAGACAAAAACAATAACTCTCTCCATAGTGTAACGTTCAGCTTGGGAACACTGTCAACTTCATGATAGACAGCAAATAAAAGCAATCAATTATGTTAATGCCTAACTTTTAAAGTTAAATAACATTGTTCTTTTCCGGTCACACAAATTACAGCCCCACATTATGAAATTGTCCACAATATTCTAAATAAACCTGTCCACAATGTAAACTGGTTTATTCTTGCAAAACATGATATTTGTTTAAGCCATACAATTTGATACAAATATACACACTGTTCTCCCTCCAAGAAACAGTTCAC